ACTTCTTGAAGGCCATAGTTAGGCCTAAATAAAATGTTTTTAATTGTGTACCAGTTTAACGTTGAATATTATTTATGATTTTTTACTTATTAACATTGTTTGTATCCCGCGATAGTTCGTCCATCTGTTGTTCTATTTCAATATTGTAATACGCTGTTTGAATATTGTACGTTTCTGTAATAAGTAATATATTCTACTCTATTTAAATACACAGATTTCATGTTGTAATACAGTTTACTTATTAAAATGCGTTGTTTATCTGTTATAATACGCTAATTATCTCGTGTAATATGCTGGTTATCTGTTTTAATGTCTTTCTTTTGTTTTTTATTAATAATAATTTCCTTTTGTGCGTATTTATACATATACAAATGATAGTATATTACGGATGTATTTTCTTAAGTGTTGTTTCTGTATTCCCTTGGTTGTGAATACTTATAAAACATAACACTATTGCAACCAAAGCCATTTCTTACACTTAAATACTTGTATCATTCAACAATAAAATATAAAGAAACATTTTATACTTAACAATACAACAATATATTTAGTACCACTGTTAATAAAAGAAACACAACCAAGACTGAATATATTAATTCAGAACTTCTAAATATTCAATAATCAAACACATCCTTTTAAAACCGTACGTAATACAAAATCGGTTTCTTCTTTCAGGTAATGATTTCAAGTATTTCAATGGTACATTAAGAGAAGGGTCTTTATCGCGCTGAAATTTATCATAAAAACATCCCGTATAGTTTTCTATAAGTCAATTTAAGGCTGGTTGCTCTTTGTTTACCCTGTTAATTAACATGATGAACAAATACTAAGTATCCACTTTTTTGAGTATGAGGTCTTTAACTAAAAATCACGTGTTCATTCAAATATGAATTTTGGGATTATTGGTAACTAAAAAAATTACAATTATGAACAAACAGTGCTTGATCTTCTTTCTCGTAGATATGTAAAACTAATAGTTGGTTAACCTGTTAGTAATGTCATAATGTTATATCTAAGGTTAACCTGTTAGTAATGTCATAATGTTATATCTAAGGTTAACCTGTTAGTAATGTCATAATGTTATATCTAAGGTTAACCTGTTAGTAATGTCATAATGTTATAGCTAAGGTTAACCTGTTAGTAATGTCATAATATTATAGCTAAGGTTAACCTGTAAGTAATCTCATAATGTTATAGCTAAGGTTAACCCGTAAGTAATGTCATAATGTTATAGCTAGGGTTAACCCGTAAGTAATCTCATAATGTTATATCTAAGGTTAACATGTTAGTAATGTCATAGTTATATCTAAGGTTAACCTGTTAGTAATGTCATAATGTTATAGCTAAGGTTAACCTGTAAGTAATCTCATAATGTTATAGCTAATGTTAACCCGTAAGTAATGTCATAATGTTATAGCTAAGGTTAACCCGTAAGTAATCTCATAATGTTATAGCTAATGTTAACCCGTAAGTAATGTCATAATGTTATATCTAAGATACATATATTTCTATTGGAATCCAATAAAATCGAATCTTCAGCCAGGATTTACAATATGTGTTGGAAAGTACCACAGAAGCACTCAACATATAGTGAATTCTATAAAAAAAACCCATCTGTTTACTGTTTCTATATTTCGTCTATTGTACTTTCTTTTGAGTTTTCTTAGCGCAGGCTAAAAATTTTGTTTCAATTGAACTTGCTAAACTCTAACAAGCTTATTTGTTATTCATAAAGAACGTAGGACACCTTTTTATAATTTGTCTTTCAGTTTAAACATCAGAAACTGATAATCAGTTAGAAAATGTATCATCTAAAAAAACGAACAAATTTTTATTAAGACTTTAGAATGTTTAATGGTTCCGTTACAAAGTCTTTTCATTATTCTAAACTTTATCCAATATGTTGGTTTTACAAAATGGAATATAAATGGCAAAGAAAATACCAGATGATGCATATTTTGATAATAACTATTACTCTGCGCTTAATTTTTGGTGTTTCTTAACGACAAATGGCATCTCAAGGAAAATATTACGATCGGAACCACTTTCGAAAATTTCCTTACTTAGCAAAGAATGAAAAGGTTAATTTTAGCAATGATGCATTTCTGTGAAATGCTTTTTATTTTGGTAAATAGGACCCCAAGGGTTTTTGTTCAGGTTTTCGTTTCGGTTTCCGGATTCGGGTTTCTGGATACCCTGATCTCGCTTTTTATCTGTCCAAGCTGACGTATTCATTTCTGGCGACCTCTCTTTCTTCCTAAACAAACAACAACAACAACAACAAATAATGAATTTGAAAAAACATATTTAGGAATTTGTATATTTCATATATCGAAACAGTTCTTGAAACTGTGATTTTTTTTTATAATTTTCTATTTTTATTTCCTGACTTGATTATTCATCAACACATCATATTACAACAAAATAACGAGCTTTTCTTAAAACTATTGTGAACTATCAAATTCAAATTAATAAAAGCATTATCCGAACATCCAATGTTTCTAAAATGATTTGAAAAGCTACCTCACATGTAAAGGAAAAGTTAAATTTTAGCATATATTAGTTGGTTTTAGAGCTTCTACAGTGTTCACTTATGGGTAAATATAAAACTTACTCATCATTCTTTTTTTGCTGATTTGCTGATCCTACGTTAACGCTCCTCATGTTTTATTTCTTTCTCAATGAAAAGAACTATAAACGGAACTCTACTGTTTTACGAAGTCTGGAAGCAATTCGGTATTTATTTGGGCCTGTAAGCTACAGCTCTGTAGAAGTATTCAATACACTGCTACTATTGGCACTATTTACCTTCACGGAAGGGAAAAAAGGACGGGAACTCCTCTCGTTAATATGGAAAGCTGAAGAATCAAAAGCCAACACCAAAACTTGATAAATAAACAGAATAAATGAATAAAATCAGTAAAAGCTGATGAAAAGATCAATGAATAAAAAAAAGTGCATTACGCTGATAAAAAGCTAACCTCTTTTCTTTTACTAGCTTTCTTTTTTGCATAAACACGTATATTCCAGAACTGTTTTTGCATAAACATATATATTCCAAATTGTTTTTGCATAAACATATATATATTCCAGAATTGTTTTTGCATAAACACATATATTCCAGAATTGTTTTTGCATAAACACATATATTCCAGAATTGTTTTTGC